TGAGGTGTGCCTGACCCACGTCATGGTATTTTTAATTGCCTCTATGCGTGTTAAAGCTGGACAATGAATAAGGAAGACTGCAGAAGAACTGATGCATTTAAGTTGCGGTGTGAGTGAAGAACACTGAAAATACCATGGACTACCAGAAGAATGAATAAATCTGTCTTGGAAGAAGTGCAGCTGGAATGGTCCTTAGAGGCAAGAAAGGCCAGACTTCATCTCAGATACCTAGGTCATTGTTTTGGTTTTCCAGTGCTACTATAACAGAAATATACCACAAGAGGATGACTTCATCAAACAGGAATTTATTCTCTCACAGTTTAGGAGACTAGAAGTCCGAGTTCAAAGTGCCAAGCTCTAGGGGCTGGGTAGGCTGGGTGAAGGCCCCTCGACCTTGGCCTTCAGCTCTCCCTCTTGCTCCTGGCCCACTGGAGCTGGAGCCATCTCTTAACTCAGGCAGCTGCTGGCTGCTGAGGCTGACAAACCCAAGGTGGACAAGTAAAATGGCACAGTCCCAAGATTATCAAGCGATATGGCAGGCCACTAGTTCGAGTCCAGAAACAATCCCAAGATCAGCAGGCCACATGGCAGGCTGCTGAATGAAGTCACGGCTAAATATAGGATCCAAGCATGCCCAAAAGCTCAAAGACCTTCTCAACTCTTCTTATATACTGGAAGCAGACCAAATCCATGAGGCAGCAACACAGCTGCTCACAGCAGATTCCGCCATGGAGTTGATCACTAATTTCACAATGCGGAGTAACTGTATCCATCTGCCCTGCCACTCAAAACGTGGCCCAGCCAAACTGACACTTAACAACTGCCACAGTCATGTCGGACCCTTGACAAGATAGATTGACACAGTGGCTGTGATGATGGGCTGAGGCATAGAAACGATTGTGAGGATGACATAGGACCAGGTTTCCTTCTGTGGTGCACAGGGTCACTCTTTGTCAGAGCTGGCTCAATGGCACCTACCAACAAAAGCAACACTAAAGATGGATAATCTCTGCAAGAAAAAGAAAGCAAAAATTATTCACTAAGTTAGAAAATTATATAAAATTTAACATTTTCTCGGAAGAAAGCATTATCAAAAAGATACTAGTAGAACACATGAATAAATTTCAAGGCATTAAAGTAAAATAGTGATTGGTTCTATTGTGTTTCCTAAGTGGGATTCCTCAGGACCGCAGCTGCCCAGAGGAATCAGAGAGCGCACTCATGGCTCCTACAGGGAGGAAGACCATCTCCCCTGTCAGGACCCGGGGCCCCCAATGGAGAACTAAGGGCAGCAGGAGGTCTGGGTCCCATGGGAGAGCTTGCTTCATTGAGTTTTCTCTCTCCTGTTGTTTATAGATACATGGATCGAAATACATTCATTTATAACTTTACAAATGACCCTTCGGTTGGTAGGCGGCAAAAGACCTACTTGTGTTACGAGGTGCAACTCCTGAATGGCAACCCCAGGGTCCCACTGAGCAGCATCAGGAACTTCCTGCACAGCCAGGTGACTGACTGACCCAGCACCACCTCGGCCAGCAGGGCCCTCCCCGGTCATTTGAAACATTCGTGTCCACTATGGAACACTTACGGGTTGAAGATTCTCTTCGTGTCTTACAAAATTCCTCTAACCTCTGAATCCTTCTTCTCTGTGGGTCTGTCTGGGTGTTGGGTGGAGATGGGATCTATTTTACATGACACTCTATGACTGGCTTCAGGCCACAAACTGGCAACAAGTCCCATATTCAGAGTCACCCCACACTGCAGGTCTCACCCCACACCCCTCCAGACATGCCCAGGACAGGTGGTATCAGGGCTGCAACTGACAAAAAGTAGTTCTTGAAAACCATCATTATTCAAATCCTTGTTGTTGTTGTTGCTGTTGTTATGTGCCCTCGACTCAAATCCTTACTTCCTACCTAAAGCTTGGAAAGAAGGGTCTATGGTAGTTCAAATTCTGACTTTCACAAGGCCAAGTTCCCTGGTATCTGTCTCTCCTGGGCTTGATGTTGGTAGAAGAGATATCTGAGGCAGGTGAGAGTAAGGAGGCAGCCCTAAACAGGGGTCAAGCCTACAATGCAGTGGGGGTCAGGGGTCATCAAACATTTGAGGAGGAGCAAGGCCAGGCCAGGTCTGGAGGTGAGGGGCATTCCTCCCTGGCCCCTGCCCAAGACAGCCTCTGAAGGCTGAGTCTTCAGGCGCCAGGCCCAGATTCAGATGCTCTTTCTGGTCACTTTGGCTAAGCCTGAGCCTGGCAGACCTCCCCAACTGCTAGGAGGTACTTGTAAGGATGCTGGTGCCCATACCTGCCCCATCAGCTGCACTGAACCCTGGCTACTTGTCAACTCACCTGTGACACCCCTATCATACTCCTGCCATTGTGTCCTTTGTTGTAGTGGCCTGACTTGGTCCCAGTCCCTGGTTGAACGTCCCTCCCGCTGCAGTATGGGCAAATCTCCCAATTCCTATCAGCATAGCAATGACTCTTCTTTCATCACCCAGGACCCCCATGTTGGGGAGGGTCCACCTTGGCACAGGTCCTTTGTTCTCAGTCCTCTTGCTCAGGGAATTCTTTTTCTTCTTTTTTTTAATTATTCTGGTGATTTGGGTGAAAGTTTACAGAGCAAATTCATTTTCCATACAGCAGCTCACATACACTTTCTCTCAGGACATTGACTGCCATTTCCCACAATGCAACAGCTCCCCTCCCACTTCCTCCCCATAGTTACCTCTTCCCTGTGTCCTGCCCTCCCATGCACTCCTGCCCCCCGAGCTGTCTCCCTGTGCATACACAGCCCTTCTATTCTCCCATGATTGATCTCTCCAAGGAGTGTGTCTACCTAGTGTAAATGTTCAGTTCATACGCCCGTCTTTTGTTTGGCTGGAAGCCACAGGAGTGGGTTCAATTCCAGATCTGAAGGGCAGCTAGAGGCCATAATAGTCTGAGGGGTTCCATCAGGCTCTATCAGACCAGCAAACCTGGTCCTTTTTTTTTTTTTTTAATAATTTTGAGTTTTGTTCCACATTGCTCTCTCAAGGAATTCTTTTGACAGAATCCATGTCATCCTTGGGCTCAGCACAGGTGAGGCCCAGAATAGAAGCTTGAGAAATCATTGGTGTGAGCCAGTGGGGTGGTAGGCAGGTGAGGGACAGAAGTGAGGAGGGTTAAACCCCTCCATGAAGGAAGCTTGCTTAGTTCAATGGCATCAACCCAATGAACTTGGGACTTGGGACTCACTTGGCTCCAACCCCTTCAACTCTTTCTCTTCTCCTTGTAGGGTCAGGACAAAGGGAAGGCCTTGGATGTAAAATTATAAGGGGCCCCCAAAAGTCAGTAATCAAGATGAGTAACATTTTAATGCAATATGTTGTATTCATATATTATTTACCCTGATTACTGAGATGTGGCCCTCCCCTCCCCCTCTGATGTTGTGCTGGAGCCCAGTGCCTCACTTGCCTCACCCTGTCCCCAGCCCTGCTCCCTGTTCACAGGAGACCTAATTCTTTTCTTTCTTTCCCATGCCCAGTATCATCCTGATTCCCAGCTATGCCGACATGCAGAGCTGTGCTTCTTGGATTTGACCTCTTTTTGGCAGCTGTATCCATGGCACCACTACCGGGTCACCTGGTTCCTCTCCTGGAGCCCCTGCCCTGACTGTGCCCGTGAAGTGGCTGCCTTCCTGTGGAGGAACAGACACGTGAGCCTGTCCATCTTTGCAGCCCGCATCTATACCTACCACAAAGGATATGAAGAGGGGCTGCGCTCACTGCGGGATGCAGGGGTCCATCTCGTCATCATGACCTACAGAGGTCAGAGTGGAACCATGGGCAGAGGACAGTAGCCTGGGAAAGGAAGTGCTAGAAGGGGTGGGCAGGGTTTAGAATTCCTGGTGGAAAAGCCTGTGTTAGCTACGGGCAGAGGTGATGGTAGCATCAGGACAAGACTTGCGAGTCTGGTGGAAGAGACAGTTCGGGAGAGCAGATGTGGTCCAGGTGAGGGAAGGAGAGTGGTTGGAAGTGGAAGAAGGACTTGGAGCTTTCCAAAAAGAAAGAGATTTGGGTGAGTCATTCCAACTGGAAGAAAGAGTTTGAGTTTGGTGGAGGAGCTAAGTCCTATGGCAGAGAAAGAGGAAGAAAGAGGTCAAAATTGTGATGCAAAAAGTCTATCCCTAAGAGTGTATGGCTGGAGCTTGACTTTCCTCCCCTGTCTTGTTTCAGAGTTTGAGTACTGCTGGAGAGCCTTTGTGGACAACCAGCTATTGCCCTTTAGGCCCTGGAACAGTCTGGAAGAAAACAGTCAAGTCATATCAAGAAGGCTTCAAGGCATTCTCCAGGACAGGGTTTCCTCTCCCTCCAGGCCCCCTATCTGGCCTCCCTTCACTTCTCTCCCTGGTCTTTCCCCTCTGCTCAGAGCCTCTGCTTGGTTCTCTCCTCCCTACAGGGGCATCTAACACCTTCCTTTCTGGCCCTTCTTAAAAGTCAAGATTTACAGCCTCAGAAACCCAATGGGGGGTCACTATGAGTCGGAAATGACTTGATGGCAGTGAGTTTTTTTTAAGGAAGGTTGGGTAATTTCCTTCCATAGGATACTGCCTCGGAAACCTAAGGAGGGGTCGCCTTGAGTTGGATCAGACTCGACAGTATGAGTTTGGTTTGGTTGTGTCTTTCCTTTTTCTTATCTATAACTTCACTATCTCCCAATCTCTTCTGTACTTCTTCCCTCAAACTTTTCCACTCATCTCAGAAATTCTCCTTAGCATCCTAGGTGGGATGGGGATGGATGACTGGAAGATATTCTGCAGTATTTCTAACAGAGGCAGGGGTTGCTGCTGAGCAGGGGAAGAAAACACCTTCTTTGAAGAAGAATGGATACTCTGCCACAAAGTCCAGATTAATCAAAAGGAGCAGTAAAATGCAAGGAGCTCAGAATGAATGGATTGAAAAAAAAATCATGGTATGAGTGACTTCAACCAAAAGGTGGAGTAGGGACCTCCAGGGACAAGTCTTTCCCAAAAACACTGAAAAAATCTGCAAAAACTGTCCGCACAAATTTAATGGGAACTCTGGAAGATATTCAAAGGTTACATCAACAAATGAATGTTTATCATAAAGACTGTTTTGTGATGCTTTCTCTGTTGAACGAAAACAAAAACAAACAAAAAGAATAAAGGGAGTTAAGGGCTCTTGAAACAAATGTTCAGTAGGTGGCTAATTCTGCTATTAGAGGACCCACTGGCATTGAGATGATTCCGACTCATAGAGACCTCCACCAGGTTTCCAAGGCTGTAAATTTTTACAGGAGTAAACTGCCTCATCTTCCTCCTTTGGGTCTGGAGAAGCTGGGTGGGTTTGAACTGCCCACTTTTTGGTTAGCAGCCCAATGCCTTAACCACAGTGCCACCAGTTGTTTCTGTTATTACATGCCATCGAGTCATCTCTGACTCATAGCGACCCCTCCTTGGGTTTCCGAGGTGGTATCACTCCTGAAGTAGATTGCCCAATCTTCCTTCTGAGGAGTGGTGGGTGGGTTTGAACCTCCAACCTTCTGGTTAGCATCAAATGTCTTAGGCACTGTGGCACCAGAGCTCCTAGTACCACCAGAGTTCCTTGATATCAGAGGAGCCCAGGCTAAAGTTGGTGCCAAGTTCACTGTCTGCAAGGAGAGAAGTTACACAGGTAGTGAATAAAATTTCTTTTAAGAAAGAAATTCTAAGTGACTGGTGTATTAGAGCTTAAATTCTAAAGCACTTGGATTTGTGGACAGCTGTGGTCTACAGTAGAAGCTTTAAATCCATTTTGAGTCTTGACTTAAGCTCAGATGCCATTTGAGTTCTTTCTGACCAGGAAACCAGCAATATGGCTGTGTATGGACAAGTCCAGGACAAACCTAGGGAGGGCAGTTTACCCTCAGAAGAGTGTGGTTGAAAGCAGATTATGTTCACACAAAGAACTGGGGAACTTGCCTGGGTGTGTTTTTATCTCATTTAAATTAAAGGTTGGTGTCCTGGTATTGTCTTGCAGCTACCTTGTGGCTATGACTCAGAGCCCCACAGTTACGAGTTATACCTTGACCACCATGTAGCGAGCTGGTCAAGGCCCAGAACAAACCTGTTACCTTTTTTAATCTTCAATTATGTATATATCCCAACTGTGTCCCTCCCCGCCATCATATTTCTGCAATCCCACCTGAGACAATGATGAGATGGCCTGCCATCAGTCATGATTTTATGATGATTTCTTTTGTACTTTATCAAATATAATCACACCATGACTGTGACTTAGCGGATTCCATTCAGCTTCTGAACTGTGTACATGCTGATGGTTTCCCTCATCCTGGATGATTGTCCTTGTTTTATCTTTGTCCTGTTTAAGGCTGCTTGAACAATTTCTCTTAGAAAGATCAGCACGAGGCTAGTCCCCATGAGGCGGAGGTCAAAGATGTCCCAAATGTCCAAACTACCATGCCACTCCATCATCTCAGACATTAACCCCTCCTCCTCCTCCCAGTAATTTCCCCAGTCTTAGGGTTCTGAATTTCGCTGTAAC